AAGATATGTCCTGCCTTTCTTTTTTAACTCTAATGGACCAAGCACTGGAAAGTGTTCCTCATTCAATGGCGGGGGAATGGGCTGCGTTGCTGCATCGACATTAAACTCCAATGTTTGTAAATCACTAAAGGTTCTTCGTTGATCTTTGTCGCAGATATTTTTAGCTTCTTTACCTCTTGTCGAACTGGTCGTACTGATATTTAATGGACTAAGCTCTGGAAAGTGCTCCTCAGCCAGTGGTAGTGGTTTTTGCTGATTCTCTTCAAGAAATCTCTCCTCTGTATGAGCATTGCGTCTCGGTGTTGGTTGTGTCTTTTTGCTATCTAGATCTGCTGATATTCGCTTTTTCAGTTTTGAATGTGTTCTTCCTTTAACCCCAGCATTGCACTCCAACGGTTGATTGTAAGTATTCTGCTGTCCGTTTTTGACGTAGATATTTAAAGTTCTTTTATCTAATGTACTTAGACGTGGGAAGTGCTGTTCATTCAGGGGAGGGAGTACGGGATCTCTTGCATTTTTGGATCTTTCCTCTGCACAAGCAATGTCTTTTAGCTGTTGATTAGCAGACGAAATACCTTGACGTGATTGTTGACTGATTTTCTTAGTCAGCCTGTCCGATCGTTGCGTCTTTTTTGTTCCAATCTCTCCAATATAAGCGCGATTCTGCGCTGACGAGTGTTGTTCATTAGTGTTTGATATCGTAGCAGGCTTCTCCTGGACACTTGACCCTGGTATTGTCAATGGCTTTGAGGAACGTTTGTTATGTCCCTTGGGTTTGTTCTTATCTTCATATATTTTCGACTTAACGTCACATTTTCCTAAATGGATAAATCAATGTTTGATAAGATTGGCAGACAAATTACAAATATTTCTAAAGACACATCAATGGGTGAAAGAAAGACGTGGAAATGTGTGATGAATGCAATCATCTGCGTTTGGTAAAACACACACAAAAAAACGAAGTAATAGCAAAATATTGTCGTATATTACACATCATTATTTTATCAGCATCTTTGGTGGTCAGCAAGTCAGTGGTCCTGACGTCTTTTCACGACAATCAATGGTGCAAGAGAGTAACTCACTTGTTTTTTCTGCTGAAGACTGTGAATCTTGAGACTTCAATGCCGCTTTCTCCGCAATAAGCACATGAGATGTGTTGTTTTCATTGTGGGATTTTCGTTTTCTTTGATTATCCTTTTTACGATTTTTACTGAAATAGAAACAAGTGAATATACCATGATTGATATAAAAACACATTGATGATACTAATTCTAGGCCACCATGTGCTACAATTGTAACATCAGCTGTTATTAAACACTAACAACACAAAAAGACTCAATAAAAGAGTAATCTTGTTGATATTACCTATGAAGTATTTTACAGTTACTAACATACGAGGTACTATATCCTTTATAACTTGATTGCCGTCATACAACACGGTTTTTCTAAATAGGTATGTAGAAAATAAGATACCTTTTTAGTAGATTGTCTCCAATGGGAGAGGGGGAGAAGTCTTTAGATGTAGCCAATGGTCTCTGGACCTTTTCACTGCTTGTACAGAGGTCGGTATCTTGGGATACCGTTGACGCAAACACATCGCAGGCCTTGACAATAATAATGATATATCATAAATATCATGGCATTTTCATTGCCGTTGCAAACAGTCATACAAGACTCTAGAAAGTCGCTTAAGTTGTAACCTTGACTTGCACAACAGCATACATACCACTGCGGTAGCTGTTGTAACTATATTATCAACGTCCTTCTTAGTCAGTGTTCGCGATGGATGTACCTCTTTTTTACCATGATCAATGGTGCTAGATGCGATTGGTTCAC